TACGGCCAGGAGCCCCTAGTAGCGTTCTTGCTCCTAGTAGCGATGCCCTTTGCTCCTAGTAGCGTCCTCGTCAAGATGAACAGAGATTTCTGGGTCCATGGGCGAATCATGAGGTCCATCTATGGACGTCGAGATGGAGCAGCCCGTCAGGCTCACTTCCGAACTTCCGAACGGTCTGAGGGTGGAAGAACCACCAATTCAAAGAAGTGGCGTGCCCGCGGAGACGTTTCATGTGCAAAACCAATTCAAAACTCATCCTTTCCAGTTGCTGAGAGCTGAGTATCTTGTCCTATTGCTAGCCTCAAAGTCGGGCTTCATGACCAACAGCGTCTTGGCTTCGAGCAGCTCTTCCAAAGACCTTCTTAGGTCCTCACAAACGTTCCAGCTGCAGAGCATTCGAGTGGGCTCACAACTGCACGCATTCGCATCACGCGTCACGACCCTTTGCGAATCCCACTCCCCACGGCCGATGGGCCGCCTTGATCTCGCTCTCCATACGGCTGATCCTTGGCATGGGGGGTCTCTGCCGTAAGACGGAAATGGCCAGGATTCACGGAATCCCTTTCTTTTCTCCAAAGTAACAAATGATTGAAAGCCAAAAATACTAATTGATGTGCAAAAAAGAGGAAAATCACTGCGTATCAAATTGGTTGCGTGTTAGGCTTGGAGTGCAGTGCTCATTTGGGGAGGCACGAGATGCCAAAAAGGCTACTGACACCAGCATCATAGCTGTCGTGCTCAACCAAAAGAGCAAGCGAGATTAGATCCAGACACGCCAAGGCACTGAACTTTTAGCTGCGGCGACTCCATCTGGAAGCTTGGCGACTGAGGAATTCCAGGAAAGTCCTTGGCATGGTTTGAACTCATAAACACAGAGTTCGTGAGTCCAAAGACAGAAACAGTCCCAACAGTATCCATTAGAGCACAGATTGAAGGAAGCTCCAAACACTTGGCTGCCTTCTTTTTCATGTTGAAGCGCAATCCCTTTCGCAAAACAAACACGCAAGGATTTGTCAGCAGCAACTTTTCCCATCTTAGCCATTCCAGAGTGATTCCGGACTTCACGTCGGATTCTGCATCATTTATAACTATCTGCGGGAGTGTCTTTTGCACTGCAGTGAGGGAAGTGGTGAGAAGGACGGAGTGTGCGCAACTTCAAAACGTTCTTCACGACCATGAGGGCTTCAATGGCCCGGCCCAAGCTTTACACATTGCGCTCGTCGCACGGACTAGACTCTGGTGCCTCACAATCTTTGGGATCTGGCTGTGTCACCAAAGACCAACCTTTCCAAGTGCTTGAAGTGCGTTGGTTGGATCGACAACACCGCGGGAAGAGTCCCGGGATAATTTTCAGCAGCAGCCCGGTGAAGTTCGCGTCAAAGAAGAGTGCCGCTAGCAGCACGATGGGCTGAGAGTGCTCCAGGGCGCTCTCCAGCAGAAGCATGGAGGCAAAGCTTCCTACCTGGACTGGTTTAAAATCAAGTCCGGCGTTTGAAGAAAGCAAATCCGATCAAATCTATCAGTGGCGTGTGTCTTGTGCAATCCCGTCCCAAAAAATGAAATAGCAGTCTCATTGCATGTCCGGCTACGTTCTTGTTGGATGCGAAATGCACTAAGGCTGCATTGATGACTTGCGTCAGGATTTTCACGATGTTCATGATGGTGATCGTGAGAATGATACCTCGTAGGGTATCATCGAACCAACATCAAGCACGGCCGTGGGCCCCAAATCCCGATTTTTGTGTGATTTAGATTCCTCCAACTTCTAAAAGGTCTTCTGACAAAAAGATAAGTCGAATTTCCAGGTCCGGCGCCTTGAGTTGTTCAACGTTCAGAGTTGAAAACACCTTTACATGGATCGGCCAGATCGGTCTGAAACAAAATTGGTTCACTGGGTGCCCCACCTCCTGGTACAAGATGCTGCCAATCCACGGCAAGACTAGAGCTTTGCCAAATCTCTGACACCTGAGCCGCACATACACAACATGTTCCATACGGAGCGCATGCACAAGTGGGCCTCACCTTGCAGGTTCGGGTCAAAGAAGGTCGCGCGGCCTCGCCCGGCCTCGCAGGAATCGTCGGAGCTCTCGGTCTCGGTCTCGGTCTCGTCGCTTCGGTGGAGCCCCGGGCGGCGGAAGCAGAGAGCGTAGATCGCCTCGGGGGCGCGCCGAACGGTGCGTCGCGGTGCGCCCCGCAACGCCCCGCGGTGCCCGGTCCGAGGCATTCGACCCAGTGGCCAGGGACGAAGCGATCAACAGTTTGAGACCAGACCACACCACGTTGAGGCAAAGCTCCAGAGATCCGATCTCCTCACGTTGCGCAGGCATAAAAAGGAGTGCCTAAGGAAAGGAACTAAGCAGAGTGAGCAAAGCTTGGATGGAATGTTCAAGCATGTGCCAAACATGTGAAAATACGGACAGAAAGACAGACAGACAGACAGACAGACAGACAGACAGAAAGAAAGAAAGAAAGAAAGAAAGGTCTGCGGAGAAGTGTGTTTCAAAAGAATACACGTCTTCTTGTGTCATGGATGGCTTTTTCACCTCGTGGTTGCAAATCTCGTTGATGGTGTTGGGTGTTGCAAAGAAGGAGGGCAGCAGTGCTAGTGCGAGGCACAGGCAAACGATGACCAGGCCCGCCATCGGTGCATCGGAGGACCTCACCGGTCCACAAGCATACATCGCCTGTAGCACCAATAGCATAATCGAGGCACTGTTCTGTAGCCAACTGAAGGCGATAACCTGGTCGAATAAAACCACGCTGCACATTGCTGCACATTATTAAGGCAAGCAGAGAGGGACTCCAAATACTTGGATGGAACAATGATGAGCATCAACCAATAATTATGTGTTGTGTCCCTGAAAATCCATGGAACCTTGCGCGCAAACCAGTCTTGTCATGCAGGAATTGCTACTCTTTCGGAAAATGAAACTGCGGCGCCTCTGGAGACAGTCCAAGTCCATCCTGAAGTCTGTCCTCTTCACAGATTTACTTTCCCTCAATACCCTCCATCTGTTTTTCTTATTGTCCGAAAACATTCAAGGTGTTGCTGGCACACGGCAGGCCACTAACCACCAATGAAAGACACGAAAACTGACCCCGAAACAGTAGATTGGGGGTGCCTCAACTCCCCCAAAAATGCATTTGGAATTTCAATAAAGGTGTCAAACTATTTTCAACATCATTCAAGTTGCCCATGGCGTTTGCAAATGCATCTCATTGAAGGCATCACAGGATGTGGCAGAAATGATGGGATTCACAGAAAAGGATACCGCAGCGTAGACCATCAAGACCGTCCTTCAAAATGCAAGTGAAAAAAGGACGAGCAGAGTTTTGCACTTGTAATTGCTGCTGGGTTGGTGATATCTGATACGATCCATTTGTCTGATGTGCCGTATGTGACATAGCCACAATGGTCGCACTGCAGCCAAGGCTCCCGTAGAATGCAAGCAGTTGTTTAGCAGGACATGTGAAGCACCAATACTGGCGCACCAATGCAAGACAGCCAACGAAGAATAGACCGCAGAAAATGCCGGCGGCATCTGCACTGAATTGCACTTGTCGTAAAGTGTATAGACCTGAATCAGCATCTTGTTCATTCCTTGGCGCATTTGTATCCTAGAAGACAACCACTGGTTTGGAAAGAAAAGAATCAGGTACATTTGGAGTTCCTTGCGATTCCACCGTCACACAGCACCACACACCCTCCGGATCCTACGGAGCGAAACAGGCCAAGCAATGGCAGAATGGCCAACGGCAATGGCATGAAATTTGTTGATTAAGCAATGGCAACATTTGGCATGTGTCCATAAAGTCTAACAAGTAGTGCATGCGTGTGTTTGTTGGACACTGCTGTTTTCAAAGGTGTGTGAACCGTTTCAATGCGCAGCATAGCACACGTACCCATCGTGACATGCAAAAACCGGGGAGCATCTTCCGGAACCGGCTTTGGAGCCCGCCAGAAAGTTAGCACGAAAAGCGTGACCCGATTTCCGCATCTCAGCCTGACAATGTGTTAGCATGTTAGTGTGACCCATGTCAGCGTGACAGCCTAACAACTTGTCAGCGTGACACCACGCCAGCATATCAACGTCATAAAATGTCACACAACGACACCATGTCAGCTTATCAGCTGGGAACAGCTGGGAACACCTCACTGTGTCAGAAAGACAACATGTTAGCAGGTGAGCAAAGACAACATGTCAGCGTGGCCAGCATCATGACGTGTGAGCACTGCAGTGGCGACATGACCATAGCTTCCCAAAACCCCTCCGGAACCTGCTCCCGAGACTTCCTCCAGAACCTGCTCCGGAGTCTGTACTATGGTTACTACTAGTAGCAAGTGCATCGCTGCTAGTAACAAGTGCCTTACTAGTAGTAACAAGAAGCTATTAATCTATTTTAAATTAATAGCTTCTTGTTACTACTAGTAAGGCACCTGTTACTACTAGCGTGGCACTTGCTTCTACTAGCAAACCTTGTTACTACTAGCTTCGCTGGGGAAAAAGACTGCGCGTCACTTCGCACGTTACTTCGCATCAATTCGTTTCACCGTGCTTCAGTGAATAGGCCGTGATGAACATGATGGGCCCAGCCAGGATGAGACCGAAAAGCACTGCTGTGGCGATCAGCTCAGCGGCTTCGGGGTCGAACTGAGACGCGAAGACGATGGGTGCGCTGCTGGTGGGGATGGCGCCATAGAAATAGGTGAAGTCGTGCAGAACCTTGATGTCACCTGAAAGCATCAAAGGCGTGCCTTTTTGGAGCACTTGTTGGATCGAATCTAAATCTAAACATTCCAACGAAACATATTGGAACAAAGACACCTTTTTTTATCCTTTTTTCGAGGTAGTCGGCAAAGTCCTAGTGCCTTAGGCATTGGCTACCAGCGCCACTGCTCTTTGGAGCACGGTGCTCAAAAGGTCTTGCATTTGCCTATGCCTGCCTGCAAGAAGCTTCCACGATCTGACGCAATGGAGCGGTTACGGAAGGATGGAAGTGATGAGATGACGAGCGATGATGCAATGAAGAGGGTCAGCAAATGTATGAATGCAAGAATGTGATAGAGAGACGGAAGTTGGTCAGCGGTTACAGCGCTACAACCCTTGCAAAACCGAGGGCAACTTCCGGAAGATGTGGCAAGTTGTTTGTCATCAAGACTTGTCCACCAATTTCTGACGCATAAGCGGCAGGGCATCTTGCAAGCTATGGAGGTAAGAATGGGGCCTAACTTGCTCAAGGTCGATGTTCAACCAAGGCATTTCTCCGATCAAGTCCCAATGTGATTCGATCAAGTCCCTAGGCTTCTATTGCCCCACATGACGATATTTCCAGTGACGAAACCTGAGCCCATTGACCTCCTCCGCGCACCAAAGCGGTACCAAAGGTATAGCTCAAATATGCGCAAACCACCACCTGAGGCGAAAACGTGGGTTTCGGAAAGGAGAGAAAGGAGAGGGCGTCCTCATGTCTCTGAAAACGTCCATAAATCTTCGTCCTGATTTCCCTCTTGCCCATCTGATCTGATCCAATCAGAACGGAACGACGTGTCTAGAAGAACCGGAGTAGCCTTCCTACCCCCCCCGTGTTCCGCCTTCATCAAGACCAGTCCAACAGCCCAGACAGAGACGCGAGGAGTTCTCAAGGAAGTGCCTGTGAGGAAAAGAGCTGACATGCCGAAGGGTGCTGTAAAGAGATCAATAAAGTCAGAAAGAGGATGTGGTAGTCCTTGGATTGAAACTTGAAACAATGTTCAAAAAGAGCTCAAGGACAAACTCTCTTACACAGGCAAACCATGTAGTAACGAACACTCTTCTGAGTGATCTGGTCATCTAGCGTGAGATGAAGCGTTTATTCAGAAGGGCCACTCATAGTCTGCGGGTGTGAATTCTCCAATAAAAGCAACACAGGCTTAAGAATGGTTAGTGTGGTGCTTTGCCATGCACAAAAGAAGTGAATGCACTCAACCAATGAGTCAAAGAAATATATAGTTACAACCGCAACATTTATAGTTTGGTTAATAAGACGACTCTCCAACACAGAAAATATCACATCTACTGAGCATGAATAGGCAAGCAAACATTCTAGACACAGACCAAGCAGTCGGATTTTTCCATTTTCTTCAACCAGACTATTGCCAAAGATGATCTTGAAGAGCAAACCAGCCTTGGTAGCAAGCAGATGGCTCAGTTTGGAGGGTCCAAACACAGTGATTCACTGACAGTCCGTTCGGAGATTCAACATCGGATTCGAATAATACCTTGGTGGGGCTCGGAGCTCTCAAAGAGGTTTTTTGGGGGGACAAGCAGAAAGGAGATTTGTCTGCATTTTGAAGTCCAAGGACACAAGTCATGAAGATCACAGGATTCGTTGCCAAGTCATATAGGATATTGGTAAAGATTTGGCAGTAGCTCTGCCCAGTTCCAGTTCTGATGGCCCCACCGATCGCAAAAGCGATCATGGTCAAGGGGATGAAGACGAAGGAGCCAACAAGAGCCTCGGAGCCAGTCGGTTCGCGAGATCGTGGATCGAAGAAGGCAGAGCGGCGGATGTGTTTCTTTTTTGGATTAACGACACCTACGGTTTTTGCTACAGGATCCACAGATCAAGGATATCTACAGATCAAAGGGATCCTTCTGCTCACGGGCTTGATCTCTTCATTTTACTTTTCGAATCATTAGTACCAGTACAAGTCAAGAATGTGTTCCTTTCGCTGCCACCACTCAACTCTCTGCCTCTGGTCTTTGACTTTCTTCACTTGGGTCTTTGACTCGAACTATAGATTTTTTACTAGGGGCTCCTGGCATCGCTACTAGGAGCAAGGACGCTACTAGGGGCTCCTGGCCTTACATTTTTTACATGTAAAAAATCCAAAGAAAAGATGCCATAATAAAGACCTGAGACGTTCCCGGTGATATAAATGGACATGTCCTTCTCATACAAGGCATCAATCACTGGGAAGCCGATGGCGAAGTCATTGGAGGCCACTGCGAAGAAGGCGAAGACGGTGGCGGTCAAGATCCGCTGTCCGCGAGACCTGACAGGTCACACCGCTCCAATTCGATGAACTTCCTGAGTTCGCTTGGAGCGAAAATACTTCACAACCCTTTGCGGAAGTTCGTTGAGGCATGAAACACATCCAAAAGTGTCAGAAACAAGAGGGGTGAAGCTCTTAGAAGTCCAAGAGGACCGTCGACCGAAAAGGGGCGTAAGGCGTGGTAAGGGCAAATGCAGAACCCAGCTGAGTACGGGCGAACGCAGAGTACGGGACCTGAGGCTGCGTCGCATCGAAATGGTGTTCTGGCTTTTTCATGCGATGCTTCTTCGCACTGCTCGAGCACTCAAGCTCGCCTGCGGGGTTGAAAGACCGCATATGCCAAGAGCCAGGTGAGCACCATCACAGCGATCTTGCCCAGGCTGCAGGCTCCAATGACCCCGTAGTTCACGGAGTGCAACTCCGCAGTGGCCACAGTGTTGAAAATCAACAAGGGAAAGACCAGGGAACCTGGAATGCAACAAGAGATGTGAGAAGAAAGCAGGCTTTGAAATGCCGCCTTTTCGGGACCTAGTTGACCTGAAAGGGGCCCAGTTACAGCTCAAACACTCTTGTCCTTCGGCTTTAGGCGCGGCGGACGCACCGCCGCCGCACCGCGACCGCGATGGTGCACGTTCCTTTCGAGACACCAATAAAGAAGCCGATGCCTTTCAGGTGGCCTTCCTCTGGCGTTATCAGTTGCAAGCGAACGCAGAAGAAGCCTACCAGAATGGCCACCATCGTGACCAGCAGGGTATTGAACAATCTCATTGTGGGACTCGCCATGGCTGCTCACGGCAAAGACTATCTGCCTTGATCCCACCCTAATCGTCTGATTCTCCTCTTTCTCTCATGGCCGGCAATGTGTTCTTTCGGAAAGGCTGCCAAATTTCCGTGCGAAAGTTTCGGAGTTCCCACCTCTCAATTAGCTGCCTGCCTCTAGCCTTTGTCAAGAATTTAATGCTGTCAGCAGTTTATCAGACGAGATTGTCTCGCTCTGATCTGCAACGGCAACGCAAGGGCCCAACCAGTTGGATTGCCACAATGAGAACATTTATTTTAATCCACATGGAGACATGCTCCGCCACTCATCTCCAAGCCCTCTATCTGTTGGAGATACAAAGAGCGCGATACCAAAAGCTGATTGGTTTGGAGAGGCAACCATCATTGGCTATCCTGAAGACCTGACCCTTACACCTCTCAGAAGTCAAAGAAGGATTCGCCTTTGTATTTCAGGTAATGACCAGGATTTCCAAAAAAACATATGGGCTTCCCAGCGTCTGGGTCAACCTCCTTAGGCTGCTTCGCTAAAAATCACCCTCTTCGGAACAGGGCTACTCTCTTTGGAACGCACCAAGCATCTGTCCGCACTGGCGTCATAGAAGGTGCGGGCGATGGCGGCAATGCCACAGGGAGCCCACCAGCCTAACCAGTCGAGAGAGGCAGACGACCCGAACGGGTTAGGCTGCTAATAGCGAGACTCTTACAGGAAACTTTAAGGAACCTAGTAGCGATGGCCTCCAACCTAATAGCGATGGCCTCCAACCTAATAGCG